GGAGAAGCAGATCACGTGTTGGTGGTCTGGTGCTGCTTCCTCTCTTTATTGAGCACCTCTTACCTCAGCTGTATCATAGATACGTCATGTAAACAGACCCTGCTGCTGCTTTCGTAGAACAGGCGAGCAGACACAACACTACAAGAAGACACACAATATACTCTGATTACTGCAACAGTTGAGCTATGCCGATCTACTAGCCCATGCCAAAGCAACCTTGAAAGCGCCGGAATACCGACTAAAGCTTCACATATGATTCATCTTATCGCCTGAATAGCCTTTCTGTCCCGCATTGACAATGCATTGCTTAGAAACTTGCTTTTCTTCCCCCACCCCTGCGGAGGTATGCCCCTTTAGTCTGTTCGTGCATACCACCCTACGGTGGGCAGTAATGGCCGATTTCTATTCCATTATGTAGCAATCAAACTAGTCATTGACTCCCCGTCAATATCACGTATACCGAAGGCTCATCCCCCTCTACGGTCGTAATGCCGGTAATGCTCGGAAGATCACGGCCCCACATCAGAAAAAGTATCTTATTTTGTTTTCTTTTAGTTAGAGAAAGAGATGGCGAGCAATCTAGACAGTGCTTTCGCCATATAAGTGAGCAATGGTTCTTCAGTTGGCTGGTACGCCAATGGAAGGTACAGTGGTACTGTAGGGAGAAAGAATACCCCCCTCTTCTTGGCCAACACCGTTGAACGTGGATAAAAGTCCGAGTCAAAGCACAGGATCTTCTCGGCGAATCAGAATACAGCGTTTTAACCGTGCATTTCTTCTCCGGTCTCTCGTTCTGCTGCGGGAGTCCGTTCGTGCATTCATCAATACTGCACATACAATGTTGAGATGGAGAAGGGCAAGTCTGAAATCGAGTAAAAGGAGGTCCCAAGGGGTCCTATCGAGATGTCCGATATATAGAGTATAGCCGATTACCACTCAACACTCAAATCACCACTCCATCATCAATTCACTCTTTCTTGACCAACTTACCCACATTCCTTACCAACACTTCCACAGCAAAGATGCGTTTCTCTCAGATCACCGCCATTCTTTCCATCACTGCTGTTGCCAGCGCACAGGTCACGTTCAACCTTACCAAGGCCTACAAGAAAGGTAACTGGGACAAGTACCATTGCTTGTACGTACATCCCACTTCACCCGGCGATGCTATACCAGTGCCCCGATATCGCAACTTGGAACATTTGGCTAATAGAGCACAAAAAGGGACGCCGTCAAGGTTAAGACATGGATCCCAAAGTGCTTGCATGAGTGCCAGGACAAAGCCAACAGGGCTGATGGATGCGCATTCAACGACTACGCTTGCCATTGCATCAACAACTCCGTGTACTCCAAGGTAAGTGATGACTATAATCATACATCAAACTGTGTTTTCTGCTCAGGTTGAAAACATCATCTAACAATTCCCAGCTCATCGAGCCCTGTGCATTTCCCGCTGCCATGGGTGGAAAAGGCACCTGCAAGATGGCTGATCTCCGTGTGGCACGTCCAATAGTTCAAGACATATGCAACTTCTTCAACGCAACCATCTATTCCGATTACCATGGTTGCAAGCAGAAGCTTAGCAGGGAGAAAACTTTTGGAATGGTCCGCAAGCAGAAGTTTATTGCGATCGACTCGGAATACGATGAAGACCGTCTGCACTATGAGACCGACTAGATTCACTCTAATTTCGACATCTGGGTTCAGAACATGACGGAGCTGTCTAGTATTTGTCTCATTTCGGCGCAACCTCATATTCTTCATCGCGGGATATGAGACAGTCTTCACGCACTCCAATCCACGTTGAAACAGTCAGATTCTTCGTCTATATAGTCACTTATTCATATTTTAATCCCATTTTTTCACCTCTCCCAATCATAAAACAATATGCCCTCACAAACTGGTACCCACTTCATTTATCAACTGCCTCTTCCCCTTCTTTGTCATTTTCACACACCTCCCATACTTTACAGCTCAGACAAGGCGCTTATCAAGATGCCTGAGTCTTATGGAGAGTACAACCAGTACGGTGGTCGCCGCGGCGCCATTTCCGGACAAGGTGACCACCGTACAGGTGGTCAGGGTACAGATGGCCAGGGTAGGGGTAGCCGGAACAAGTAGGTGAGGCTATCGGTCCTTCTGCTGCAGTCAGCTCAGCCACTGCCGGATTCCTGTCTTTGTGAAAGTTTTTCTCATGAGCTGAGCGAGAAGGGTGCTTCACGTATACGAGCACCCCATGCTGTCATTTTACTAGTTTGGTTAATTGATATTTTGATCCTATATCGTTTTGTCTTCGTGGGTCGTGATGAAATTCGCGTCGTGATGGCACGTCGAGTCGAAGATTCAATGTGTACGAGCAACCAGAGGTGATTGAGACCATACCCGATAGAAGGTGGATGAGGTGTAGCCTGGGCAAAGATGCATAACTCAGTGGCCACATACATTAGCACACCGAAAAGCGTCATGTTTGCGCGACGATCTGTTGTCACTGCGCTTGTTAGGCTGGGCGAGCGCGAGGTTGCGGCGTTTCATTGCGCGGCTCACTTGTGGTCCTATGATGACACCGGGGACAACCCACAGGTACCCGGAAGGCTGCCTATATCTCACCTGCGTCACTGTATTCAAGCATATTCAAGCAAAATCGGCATATTTTCTAATTGGAGGTAAGCAGATTCGTGTAATAACGGAGTCATTGTAAGATGGGCGATCTAGACCGTAACATCTTCAGCTCACAGAGCGTTAGAACAACTTTGTTCTCACTGGCTGAGTCTCTCGGGTGTATCCGCTCGGTGCCTTGGCGACAACGCCGATCCGCTACACCTTCTTGCTGTTGCCAAGTATGGAAATCATTTTCCACGTCTCGGTGATTCTATTGCCATGTACGCAGCTTCAGTAGGATTCATATTGGTAGAGTTGTGTGGGGATGAAATCCAGGCTGCATGGTCGGTATGCTCTTTTCTTTCAGGCGCCCTATGGTGAACCCTGAGGCGTTCCCACATGTCAGGATATTTGGGAATCGTCACAGAGCAACCATCAGACTTACACTGAGCAAGGACCAATGGGGCGTAAGGCAGATATGCTAGGCAGATCGACAGATCCTGACCATGAGAAGCGAAGTTGACGAGAAAGGTACATAAACATCGAGCAGTCTGATTATTCCTCGTCACCTCAACTTCTCTAATCTCGCTTCGATTAGAGACACTGTAACAATGCAATCTACCACCATTTTTTTCTACGCATTCGCGTCTTCTCAGCTCCCTACGATAGCAACACAGGCGACGGTCCTGACCTTTCTGTCGGCCATAGGGCTTATACCTTGGCTCCTCCTTAGGCAACCAGGCAGCCACCCATTTACCCGCTAGTACCTTTACAGCCTAGCTCCTTCACTCCCTCTTCCCACTGCGTATATAGACCTCTTTCCGACAGCTCTAATACGACATGATTCTCCCCAACCTTGACGCTTGACACTTTCCAACTCCTCTCCTTCGAACAATCAAATAGCATTATGTATTAAAACACCACTATTTCTTCCACATAAGACCATAGGATCTTGAGAACAAGTTCTCCCTCGCGATCCGTCAGTTCTTGTGGGGATAGTGGGTGCTGAAAGAATTGAAGGATTGAACTGAGGTTGTATTGTCTGTATGTATGTATGTATGTATTGTTTAACGTCCTATGAAAGCCTCCCAGGGGGCATGAAAGACGGGTAGCGCCCTGTATGGTACTCAGGTGCTCCTATTCTTTGGGTGTTGGCAGTGTGTGCAGTCTGGTAGGGTAATTTCCGCCAGTTAAAAAGACTCTATCTAGGTTCTGGGCCGTGGGGCCAGGGATGTGTTGAGCAATGAAGCAGAGCTCTTGTTCTGGGGCCAGTGGGCATTAAGGTGTGTCGGATGTAGGACAGGGCAGAAGAGAGGAAGAAGGTTGTTGTATTGAGAGAGCTACATAGAGCGATTATATACACAACCGAGATGAGTAAGCAGGTGACGAGGAGTCACGTGAGATACAGTTCACAGTGTACCAGGTGAACTGAAGTGCCAGGCTGACAAGGTGGATCCCTTGTGTTCTGAGGCAGCTAAGTGCCGTAAGAGAGAGTAAGAAAAAGGTACGTGGGTGTGGAGAGCCGGTGCTCTGTCGAATCGGAGCCGTGGCTCTGCGCGAGGAAAGCCTTTGTACTAGGCTTGGCGATGCCCGTGTCGAAGGAGATAGGTGTAGTAGGAAGGCAGAGCCAGGCCTGTCCTTCTTCTTTATCTCTTAAAGTTGCGAATCTGTAAGGCCATGCTGGCTGCCTTATTTGCGTGTTGTGTCAGATCGGGGACTCTGACCGTTGGTCTTTAGAGAGCTGCGGGCAGCTCTCGTCGTTGTAGGTGTGGAGAGCCGGTGCTCTGTCGGGTCGTGCCGTAGCTCTGCGCATGGAGAGCCTTTGTATTTAGGCCTGGCAGATGCCTGTATCTTGCAAGAACAAGGAGTGTCAAGGCTGTCTCCTTGTCTTAGCGGTGGTTGTGGCCTTCGACCGAACGTGAAAATCTGAGTAGCGCACGGGCCATTTTGAAGACATCTCAGCTCACCAGGGAGATGAAAGACAAAAGAGGCCAGCGCGCCTGCCACAGCGCCTGCAGCCGGAAGAGGACGCTGGAAAACAGATTTAAGAAGGCATTTGAGTCTTGTTTTGATGAAAAATCGATGGATATCGACCTTTCGTTGACCTGGAAAAGTTGATGTTCGGTGAGGTGGTATTGTGTGAGGCTACGAACTGTATATGTAGGTGGGTGACCGTAAACAGCGCTAGTCCCAGATAGGCATCGGTCCATTACAAAGGTAAGTTGCTACTACAGGAGCAGAGCAGGAGAGACCCCAAACCGTGACAGAATATGATCAAGAGAAGAGTAGTGATAGTTGAAAAAGCCGTATTCATACGACATCGAAGCAACATTGAAATACTTTTAACGGAATTTGGCGATCACTTAGACACCTTGTCTTCCTCATGTATAATAGCCGTATTTAAGGAGGATGTGTACTATTTTATCTAAAACACCACTATGGAACGCAACATTGTGATCTAATGGAGACTATCGGAAATTTGGAATATCAGTGTAATTGAAATGAGTACTTTGAGAGTCTCGGAGTCATCTTTATGTGGCATACGATGATCCAACGCGATCATGCGGTGTTCTGTTCCTGGTTACATCTACAATTCGGTGTTGCTTCACTGTGTAGAAACATAAGAATACGTTTATTATGGTGTATCAGACCAATCGCAGCATAAAACCAGTCTCTCAAGTTTTGAATTGTGGCTACCCCAGAGTTCCAATGACGAATGTTTGGCGATTGGACACCACTAAGTAGAGAAGCGCATGACGCTTCTAATCATAACCTTTTGAGTAGGTAGCTGATTCAGTTTACTTGAATGTCACGACGATATCATGTTGGATAGACCAATAACAATGAACGTGTCTCCGACTTTGATGGCTCACTCACCAATGACGTAACAATAGACTCACAGCTTCACTTTTTGTCGTGACGCAGAGTACAATGCCCCATGTGCATTTAAAACTACAAAGGTGACTGTGAGTGTCAAACAAAGCTAGGCGCATTGGCTAGCGCGAACAATGGACCCACACAGGGTCTTTGTCTTACAAAGTGACCCTCCATCTGTACACCACATCTGCACCTAACCACATTACCCGTACTTCAGCCCTAATATCAACTGCAAGCATGGGAAAACAGTGGTACAATCACAGGTCGCGCAGCCAGCAACAGCGCGCCGGCGCAACCAACTTTGTCAACTCCACCAAGACCCAAGCGCAAGTCCGAGACCGCGAGGGACCTTTGGAGGGCATCAATGTCTGGGGTCAGGCCCAGAACGCCAATCGAGGTCGACTGGATTACCGCAACCGTGAAAACGTGCGCGATGAGCGGAGCAGGTCACCAGAGCGAAGCAACTCCCAGGACGAATCACGTGGCCATTATCGCAACAATAGCCGACCGCATACCACCGTTACCTTCCACGAGTGGGTACCGACAGCAAAGCTAATCACCAACAAGTCCGTGAAGTCGAAGCCTCA